ATATATATATATATATATGGTAATATACAACTATCAGTCCTTAATTACCTTAGAGAGAAAGAGAGAGAAAGAGAAAGAGAGATACAGAGAAAGAAAGATACAGAGAAAGAGAAAGAAAAAGGAAGAGGCACGGAGAGAGAAAGAGAGAAAGCGACAGAGAAAGGGAAAGAGAGAGACAGAGGAAGGGAAAGAGAGACAGAGACAGAGACAGAGAAAAGGAAAGAGAAAGACAGAAACATAACCAGAGGCAGAGCGACAGAGAGCTAGAGAGATAGAGGCTGAACTCTGCCTTATATTCTAAATATTGATGTCTCTCTCTCTGCCTCTCTTTTTATATATATAAATATAAATAAATAAATAAATAAATATTTATATTTATATTTATATTTCGCTTAACTTCATCTCCACTCTCCAAAGCTCCGCTGTAGGCAGCTGTGCTTGCTTGAGCCATCTTGCGTAGGTGCCTTCTTTGTCAATGCTTCCATGCTTGGCCGGTTCATCTAGCGGCTGATAGGCAATCGTTTTCTTAACGTGTCAATCCAAACTGATGTTCACTTATCGTTCTGCCCCGATATGTACACCACTTTATTCTGCGCTTAATTACTTTTCTCCCGAAAGTCAATCATTCGGTGGGCATCTCTGTGACTAGCCTCCTGCCAGCAAGTCTGCCTTGTTGTCTGTGCAAGGGCGACGTTCTTCTCTGGTGAGCTGTTAGTCGTCTCGGGACTCGAACTCTCAAACCAGTGTCTGCGAGCCGACAGCAGACACTGCGAGCCGAAGGCCATTCTGTGATGGAATGAGCCTCATGTGGCCCAGGAGCCCTTCAGGGGGTAGGCCAAGTCAACTTTCACAATCTCCCACCGAGCTGGTGTAGCGTAGAAACCAGTGCCTCGACGAATGACAGCAGCGGTCTCGAGTGGACACGAAGAACCCTCAAAAGCGTCAAGCGCTCGCAGTAGGCCATAGTCATCCTAGTGTACAAATTGAGAAGGGCTTCGAGCCTTCATTCTTTCTGTTGTGCATGCTTGGATGAAGGGATCCAGCAAAGCAACTCAGTCTTGCTTCTCACGAGAATGATGTCCCCAAGAAGGTGGTACAGTTGTTTTAAAGGAATATACAAAAAATAGTAATAACATTACATATTTACTCTAGACTGCATAAGGTGATTGAGGACTGATAGTTGTACATTCGTTGAATTTCACTTATACTTGTTTCTCAAATGTCTGCTCCTCCTAAGAAAGTGTTCAACTTAGTTCTGATATTATTTACTATTACTGCTGCTGCTACGACTACTAATAGTAGTAATAGTGTTAATAATTTTATTATTATTACTAGTATATGATTGTTGGAAAATTCAACTACCAATCCTTTATCAACTTATGTGACCTAAGATGACCGGAGCCGATATTGACCAAATTTGAGGAACGTTTATTGGGAGATGCAATGCTAACCCTCAAATTGTGGGTTAGATACACGGATGGCTATTTTATCATCTGCCCTCATGATGAGAAGAGTTTAGATAGTTTCCCACTTTCACTTAACCAATATGAAAGGAAAATTAGGTTAAAAATGGAAATTGAAGAGGATAAGTACTTACCTTTCTGGATGTTGTGATCATTAGAGAAAAGGATAAGTTAGGAAGAGATATTTATAGCAATCAAATATATGCTGTCTCTTTTCTGAATTTTCTTTCCAAGCATAGTTACAAAACTCAGGTTCGAATCTTGAAATCAATGATCATCAGAAGTATGGGTCTAGCGGCTAAAAGACTGATTCCTGGAAAATAATTATCCTTTGGGCTTAATTAAGAATAATATCTCTTTATTGAGAAATAATTTTTCAGACGAAGACTATTATGTCAAAGATAGGCAGGCAGAAGCCTTTTAATATGTCCTAACTTGTGTTGCCATGCCTTTTTTTAAAACAGATATGTCAACTAGTGAGAAAGTGGGTGATGAAAACATTCTTCAAAGAAAGCTTCACATTTTCTTCGGTTATGCCATCATTTATCAATAAACAGGGCCCATATTCGAAATCCGGATGATACAAGATTGTATGTTTCTGTGGTCGACCTTATGTCGGTGAGACATAAGGTCATTTTTACACAAGGTAGAATTGGACTTAATAATTTTATCTTGGTCGACAAAGCAAAGTCAGCTAGATTTCACATGTATATAACTGATTACTAACAGGGTAGTAGTAACGTGTCGCCCCCAGGCATAAGAATACAGCGACCTTTCAGCACAAAGACGTGGTGTACTTGAAAGTGTAAAAGTTTTGGGACCAAGTATCAATACTTAGACGAGGGAGTGGGGTCGGCAGAATATTCATTTTCTCTTTGGAAAAATTGCAAACTTTGTAAAGGAGGGGGAGGAGGGCAAACAGCCTTCGTATAAGAGCAGTATTAATCCTATTTTGTTTAAGGTGATAAAGAAATGATAGT